TTTTTCCGATATGTTATTCATGTGATGTCTTTGCTTGCTTTTCAGACCAAAACTAGATAAAAAAAAATGTTGTTTGGGATAGAAAACATTTTTAATAGGTAATGGACCAAAATTCTTCATTTCAAATGTAAGGGATCAATAAAGTATAAGGTAGAAATGTGAGGCACTATTTATATAATTTTCCCTTGCAAAAATATCAAACTTCATTTTTTGGATGCAACACATCAAAATTGATCAACCAACTTTCCAATCTTACCCATAATAAACAATTCCAAAGTTCAAGTTTTATATTCATTTCTTCAAACCACACTTATGTGAGGGCAAAGATAGTACAAGAAATTCTCTACGTTCCCAAAACTACATGAGTATTACTTAAAGTCTTGGGATTGCAAATGAATCGAGCTCCATTGAACTATTCACCAGTTTATTCTATCAAAATTTGAATTCAAGCTCGCATTCAAGCTCGAACTAAGTTCAAGTAGCTAGAGTAACTTGACGAACTTGAATTCAAGCCTATTACATGAGACTCAAAATCTCATGGAGCCTACTGACATTCGTTTATAGGTGTGTGTGTGTGTGTATATATATATCTATGTGTGCGTACATATGTATAACTTTTTATATTTATTAATATGACGTGTCTATCATATCTCTTCTTTAACATTACATTAAATACTAATTTATATTACTTAAACTTAATTTAGTTAGATTCAATTGAGGTCAAATTTGAACTCAGGTTTGAGTTTAAAAGCTGAACGAGCTTAGATCAAGTATTTGAACTCGATGGTGTATTACTTAAGTTCAACTCAACTTGTTTACGTCCCTAGTCCAATTAAGTGTGCATTAATTAAATATATGATGACTCTATCGCACCCATTAAAATTCTTTAACTTAACCTCGGGATTACATCTAAGCCTCCTTTTAATACAAAAATTATGCTAACGTTAACCACTAATCATTTACTCATAAGCGAAACTTTGCAAATTCTAATACTTAAGGGTAAATTGTTTTAGTAACCTTTTTGTAACTAATTAGAACAAATTAGCAAATGAAGTTTGGAAAAAGCTAGTTGCACTCTCTTAATTGTTTATGCAATTTTCCTTGATTTTTTTTTTACTTACATCAAAGGATAAAACTGTCCATACTCTTCATTTTAATTAAAATTTCATAAAATGCATAGTTTTGAATTCGATTAAAGGTAGTGGTCTTTGATTACTTCACACATTCAAGAGATCAAAAAAACGCCATTAATAAAGAAACGAGTGCCTTTGGCATTTTCTATAAATCTCATGATTCTTTTCTTTTTAATCTCCTTCTCATCAAAGACTATGAACAAGTTGACAAGTCTTACTTATAAGAGAAACTTTGCAAATTCTAATACTTAAGGGTAAATTGTTTTAGTAACCTTTTTGTAACTAATTAGAACAAATTAGCAAATGAAGTTTGGAAAAAGCTAGTTGCACTCTCTTAATTGTTTATGCAATTGTGCTTGATTTTTTTTTTTTACTTACATCAAAGGATAAAACTGTCCGTACTCTTCATTTTAATTACAATTTCATAAAATGCATAGTTTTAAATTCGATTAAAGGTAGTGGTCTTTGATTACTTCACACATTCAAGAGATCAAAAAAACGCCATTAATAAAGAAACGAGGGCCTTTGGCATTTTCTATAAATCTCATGATTCTTTTCTTTTTAATCTCCTTCTCATCAAAGACTGTGAACAAGTTGACAAGTCTTCCAAGTTAAAAAGTTTGCTTTTTAACTAGGGATAATTTCACAAACTTCCCCTGAAGTTTATGATAATTTCACTCAATTCCCCTCAAGTTTTACAAATTACACTAACCTCTCTTATCACAATAAAATGAAGACATTGACCTTCACTTAATAAATAATTCACAATATAATGAAATGAGATTAAAAAAAGAAAAAGAAACCTAATCTTTTCGACTATCCTGTTTACAAGTTACAATTAACGACGATTCTCTCTCACTTACTGTCACTTTGTTCTCATCCATCAACCCCTGCATCTTACAACTCGCTCTCAAATTACCACCAATCATTGTCTATAACTGCAACCAATCACATCACAAGTGATTTCTCATACTCTACTATATATTTCTATTCCTCATTTCTTCTCTTTAGAATTGCCAAATCACAAGTTTAATTGAGGGATTAGATTTGATGGTTGAAGTAATATTTGATTTCATGGTCAAACTGAAAAAGATGAAAAGACACACAATAATAATGGAACAAATAATGCAATCATTGCCCAAAAGAGGAAGAGGGACTGAAATTGGTAAATTTACTAATTTATCTATCATCTATCCAAGAAACTTTTTAAGATGTTAATAAGTACATGCTTGACAATTGTTGGTTGTGGTTTCGTTATGTAGATGGAGTTTCTTCTCTGTATTTAAGACGTTAACATGTTTAGAGATTTGATGGTAGATTAGATTATTTTGTTTTGAGAAGATGTGGGCATTGGGTTTGAAGTTTGGGTTATGATTAGTTGTAAATAAAATATTATTTTTTTTGGCAAAATGAATTTCTTGAAGATCTCTATAGTCATAATGATGCATTTCCTTCTCTTAAACTTGATTAATCCCATCCATTCCTATGATAATGGAATTGCTTCGGTTTAGAATTTGAAATTAGACTATTTGCTAGACTAGTTTGTTAGTATAGTGGGTTTTGTTGAAATTGGAAGAAAATAATTGGTAAAATAATTTTTATTTTATTTTCGTACAAAAAAGGTAGTTTAGATTTTTGAGACAAAAATAGCCTTTTGGACCAATATTGTTATATAAACAGTAAAAGCAAGGAAGGTAGGCATAATTTAATAAACTTGTGGAAATGTCTCTGCAATTGTCAGAAACCTCCCTTGAGGCTTCTGAAAGTATTTCTTTTAACCAAGGGTTAATTACATTTACCTCCCTTGAGATTTGACCAAATAACTAATCGATCCTTAAGATTTGACCAAATAACATATTCCTCCCCTATGCTAACTTCTGTCACTTATATGGAACGGAAATAGCCAAAAGTCTGAATAACCCTTACTGATTTCCATCAAATTTTAAAGACATAAAAATAGAATATGTACTTACCATTTTAGCCTTTAGGCAGGAAACACTACAAGACATCGCCTTTATCACTTCAACCCCCACAATCCCACCTTTAGATTATCATACTCACTCTCACTCTTCTTGCACTCTCTCTCCATGAAATCCTATCTTTCTATGGTTGCTTAATCCTTAAATCACTAAGACAAAACTCAAAAATCGCATTGTTTTGTCTACAGATCAACATACTGTGGTTTCAAAATTTTTCACAAACAAAGGCTGTAGGGTCGGAAAGCTATTGGAGGCACAAGCATGGTATTATCTTCAACTGATCATTTCTTGCATGGGTATTATATACTATTTGAACCAAAAAAATGAGTTCTTCATGCACGGATCTAATATTTATGTACATTAGATCCTTCTTAGTTTGATTTCTAGGACACAAATATGCTTTGAATTTAGGGGTTTTTGATTGTGATGCATCAATACAATATTTTCTTTTTGGTTGATATTGCATGTATAATAGTTATCTGGGTGGTGAACATAGTCATAAATAACAAGAAATCTAGATTTAATAGTGTAAATCTGGAGTTTTTGTGAATTTTTTTAATATATCACTTTTTTCTACATTGGCAACATATATATGTAATTCTTAGTTGTTTGAACCACAATAGGGTTGTATTAGTTGTTCATCAAAATAGTTTTACAATTTAGGGTTTAATAGGAAATCTTTATTTATTTCCTGTTATGTCAGATTCCATGTTGATTCATATCGATAAATTTAGTTGCATGCAAATAAGTTTTTTATTATCATATTAACGCTATTTGTTAATGAAGTGCATGATTAACTTTGTTGTTTTCATGGTTTTAGGCTGGACTTGCAAGTGTCTACGACATTACTCTTCATTGTGAAAGCATGAAGTTTGAACTAAGGAATATTGAACCCGATCGATATTCTTACATTGACTTGTTATCTGATGTTTGTGAGAATGAGATGTTTGAATTGTATTTCTAGTGGACAAAATTTCATGATTGCTTTATGTTGTGATATCCCTGGTACTGTAGAAACAATGAACATTGAAACTGATTCGGATGTCCTGGAAATGTTTGGTTTACATAGGAGGAATGGATATATCAATGTTTATGTTAGGCAGGTTCACGATGATGTTTAAGAGAACTTGAATGAAAATGCAGGTAATGGAACAATATTGATGGAATGGAAATATTATGGGGCTGAATTTCAATAATCTTAGTGCCAATATTAATAATGATAATGAAAACAACACAGGAATAGATGGTAACAATGTTGATATTGCTATGAACTTTGAAGTGGTGGGTTAACTTCCATGGAGGAGAGAGTAGCAACACCAAAAGGACTGGTAAAAAGAATTCAAAAGGTTGGGCAGAAGGAAAGGCTAGACAAAATACTATAACTAGCAAAAGGTTGGGTAAAAGAAAGGAATTCGAATATGTTTTGAATGGTGTTGATGCAGGGATCCAGGATGAAGTGGAAACTAATGATGAGCTATATGTTTTATAGTGACAATGATGAGATGAGTGTTGACTTAGATGATGAACTATTTAGTACATTTGTACAAGAGGGATTGGAAAATGAGTTAGAGTCTGGTGGAGACTTGTCTGATTATGAGTCCAATGATGAAGTTGAAGTTGAAAATGAATCAGACAGTGACTTGGAGGATGATTTAATGGGTGCATGCCTAAATGTTGCTAAGTTTTCCATACCTGAGGGAGAGAAATTTAGGCTCTTAAAGGAAATGATATTTGCAAATATTGATACTTTTAGAAGAGTGCTATATGAATATAAAATTCAGTGGGGCTTTCCTCTAATTTTTGATAGAAATGAAAAGTCTAGATTTACGGCAATCAAGGTTGTGAGTAGAGAGTACATGCTTCTCTATTACTTGATAAGGTGACATATATGGTAAAAACATGCACACCTGATCATACTTGTGTCATGAGTGAAAAAATTGTTGCTTCTGCCAAGTGGATTGCAGGAAAAATAATTGACCTATTGAGGGCATATTTTACTATTAAACTTGATCTATTAAGGAATGAATTGGCTAAGTATGGTGTTTTTCCTACTGATATGCAGCTTTATAGAGCAAAGCAAAAGGCACAGGACATTATTGATGGTAGTCATGGTGATAGCTATAGCTTGCTGCCTAAGTATTGTGTCATGATTATGAATACAAATCCTGGTAGTATAGCTAAGATTCAATTTGAAATGACTTTGGGATCTAATGTTCCTTCAGTTAAAAGAATGTTTGTGGGGTTAGATGCACTGAAGAAAGGATTTTTTGATAGTTGTCTTCCTTTCATAGGATTTGATGGATGTCACTTGAAAGGGCCGTATGGAGGGGTTTTACTTTCTGCAATTGGTTTGGATAGAAATAATGGATTGTATCCTATTGCTTATGCCATTGTTGAGAGTCAGAATAAAGAAAGTTGGATGTTTTTCTTTGAATGGTTAGCTGCAATGCTTGATGACTTTCCAAGGGATAAGCCTTGGACTTTCATGACTGATAGGCAAAAGGTATGATCTTAACAGCTCATTCACTTAATCAATCACTGAATTTGGGCTTTTATTAATGTATTTTACTATTTTTGGTGTTTGTAGGGACTGATTGAAGCCATTAACTCTAAGGTACCATCGGCAGTGAATAGAAAGTGTTGCAGGCATATATATAGCAATTTTAGAGGCCACTTTCCAGGAGTTATGCTTAGGCAATAATTTTGGCAAGCTTTCAGGGTTTACACTGAAGTAAACTTTAAGGAGGCTATGGCTAAAATTAAGGATTTAAAACCTGCAACTTATGAGTGGTTGGAGAAAATTCCTTATCACCTATGGTCTAGGCACGCTTTCCCCAAAGATTTGAAAGTGATCACATCACAAACAACATTGCTGAATCGTTTAATCATTGGGTAGGAGATCTAAGGGGTAAGAATGTGTTAACATTGCTGGACAATATTCGATCTAAGTTGATGAGTAGGCTGCTAAAAAGATTTGAAAAAGGCTGTCTTTTTAAGAATAATGTGGTTCCAAATGTGAAAAACAGACTTAATGTACTTGCTAATGAATGTAGAAAGTGCACTATACTAATTGCAAGTGTTAACGAATTCCAAGTGAATGATTGTAATGTTTCTTACATTGTGAACATCAATGAGAGAACATGTGATTGCAAGGTATGGAGCTTGTCTGGAATACCATGCAAGCATGCAACAGCTGTTCTTATTAACAAGAGAGCAGATTTGGAAAGTTATTGTGCTTTTAGCAACACAAAAGAATTTTACATAAAAGCATACAAAGAAGTCATTCATCCAATCCCAAATGTAAAGTTTTGGCCACCTATTGATGTGAATCCTTCTAAAGTACTACCACAGCACTTAGAAGAAAAGCTGGTAGCCCAAGAAAGGCACGGAGAAGGGAGCAAGGAGAAGCACCAACTATAGGCCAAGGAAAAAGATCATCCACGCTGAAGTGTAGTTTGTGTCAACAATTTGGGTACACTAAAAGAAATTGTGAAAATGGTTCAAAGAGGGATAGAAAAGGCAATTTCAAGAGAAGAAAGGTGGAGTGCATTATTCAAACTCTGTTACATTCCTCTAATTGTTAAATGTAATCTTAAGCATTTTCTAACCTTGTTTTCATTCTTGCTGAAGTTACTTGGTTAGACCAGTGGAATGGAACTTCGTGTATCTGCTGGAACTAGTAGACCAACATCTACTTATTGCCCTACATAAGAATCAGTTACTCTACCTACTGGAAGTACACAGCCACCATTCAAGTCTCTTAGGTGACTGCTAAATTTCATGTACTCAAACTCTGATGGTACACAGCAACCAGTTGAAGGAATGTAGATTTTGCTAACTACAAACATGCATGAAACTGTAGGGAGAAAGCAAAGTATGGCTTTATCTCAAACACTTGAAGGAATGTTTGGGAGTTCAAGAGCTTCAAATCTACTGGGCAAAAATCTTGCTGCTATGGTCATTGGAAGAAGATCAGTTGTTGGCAACAACAATGGAGGATCGGTATCAGGAGCTATTACTACTTCAGCACAACCAGGGCCTACCTCAACATTGCCAGCAACTTGTAAAAAAAATTCTCAATCTGAATATGCAATGTTCTAGCCTTCAGGCTTTGTTTAATATGTTTTTTGTTGACATGGTTGCAAATGAAGACAAATAGGATTCCGATCTTCATTAGTACTATGAAACTTCTCAGTCTATTGTGCTTGTACTTATTAGACTTTATAGCTATGGTATGGCCTTTATGTTCTTTTGATGGTTCATAGCACATATGTGGTGCTGATATAGATAAAACTTTGTGACCAGTGTATGGTCTTTTTGTTCTTTTGATGATTCATAGCACAATGGAACTAAGTTATCATTGTTTCTTTGTTTGTTTTTACTAGCTCTTTTCAAGTACTTGGTATGGAATATTTCAGATTTTACGCACTTAGCTGTTGTGGAGGTTCTTATATCTTCATCTCCCTCAACCAGCTCAATGAAGAATAATTATGGAGGTACTTTTCTTCACATGGCAGTGGCAGGCTTCAGAAGCCCGGGATTTCGAAAACTAGATCGACAGATAGAGCTTATGATGCAGTTGGTATGTGGCAAAGTTGCTACTAACATAGAAGATATTATCAATGTCAGGAACAATGATGGTAGAACTGCTCTTCACATGGCAGTGATTAAGAACGTTCAATCTAATTTGGTGGAACTCCTGATGTCAGTATGTGGAATAAATTTTAAACATCCGGGATGTTGATGGCAATACCCCATTGGATCTCCTCAAACAGCAATCCCAGTCAGCATCTTCTGAGATATTAATCAAAAGGCTGATTTCTACTGGAGGAATTTCAAATTGTCAAGACTGTAGGACAAGAAATGCACTCGTTTCTCATTTGAAAATGCGGGGTATTGGAGGCAGTCCAGGAACATCGTCTAGAATTCCTGATGCAGAAATATTTCTGTACACTGGAAATGAAAATGCATCTGATGCTGGAACAATGGTTGTTTAGGCAGCAATTTACAATGGTTTGCAAACTTGTAATGCTCCAGCAATTGTAATACAGTTGAATTTTGACACACTTGCATTATAATGTAGCAGGATTCTTTTTCAAAATTGCATGAAATGAAGTAGACTATAAACAACTCAAAACAACCAAAAGTTATACCACTGAAATAACACTAGAGGTTCCATTTCATTGAAGCACATTTACAACAAGTCTTTGTAGCATTTTAAACTAGAGACAACAGGTATTGCTATCAGCTGACACATATGTGCCGTGAAAAGCTAGAAAGCCAATGCCATTTTTTTCAACTTCTTAACATGTTTATAAGTTGGGCAAACAAGTATGCAGCCAACAAGACAAGATTTATTGCTATCAATATCTTAATATGCCCAAGCCAAGTCCAAATGGACCAGAGCACCTTATTTGCATCATTTCTTTGGATCATATGACTTGCTGCACCAAGATCACCACCTGCATTTCTCCTCAGCCATGGGTTATAGTTCATTTCAATAAATTCATCTCTTGCACCTTGCCTAAATCTTGGGTCATAGTTCACCTCATTCTCTATAACATAATTTGGCAAAACCCACTTCAACCATCCATGCACACTATAATTACAATAAAGCCTTCTGGGATTCTTTTGTGTTCGAGATACCATAATTGAAGCTATTTGACCACAACCACATCTTATGCTCTCAAATCTCAAATTTTCAATATTTGAGCTATTGCTTGATGAAGCCATTCCTGCAAAATAAGACTCATATTATAAACATAAAAAAATTAACAGCAACCAAAATCAATTAGAATAGGCATTAAAATAACAAAAAATATAATTCCTACAAAATGTAATTAACCCTCAGAAGACTTACTAAAAGCAAATCAATTAGGCTCACTACAAACAACTAGAAATTTATTACTCATTGTTTTTACTTTGCAAATTATTTTTAAATTAAACTCTTCAATTTCATCTTATTAACAGACCATAAATCGTAATTTTATAACCTTAAACCTTGAGATATCCTAAATGTGGCCACAGAATAACAAAATACCAATAAAAGCAAATAAATTAAACATAAATAAAAATTAATCTAAGAATGATAATGTCATAATTAAAGAACCCTTAATTCCATCTTAATTAGAGACAACTCCATAAATTCCTAAATCCCAAACCCTAAGCAATAACTCTTTCAATTTTAACTCATGTTAACTCACCATTATCCTGTGATTCGGAACCAACACATGCTTACCTGATGTAGCAGCAAGTTGGTTTTTACACTTGATTCTCTCCAAGCTTTGTTGTTGTTATTCTCTTGAGGTTTTTGCTCGTTAAACTTGGGAAAAATGGAGAAGTCTTTTTCTTCACTCTTTTTGTAAGACTAGGAGGGGATTACTGCGCGATGTGCTGTGTGAGGTTACAAAGTTAATATGCCCAGAACTGAGGTTGCAAGGTTAATATACCCAAAGCCCTTAATGGCCACATTTTCAAATTAAAAATCAATTTTTTATATAATTTTCTTTGTGTGGTTGATAATTGAAACATTTTGTTGACATTTCAGTTGTGATTAATTTAGGTGTAAACTAAGACAGATAAGAGTTAACAAAGGAAATACTACTACTAAAGTTGAAGAGTATAATAACACGTATAACTGAGGTAGACTCTTCCAATGCACTATGCATGTCACTAATTGTGAAAGGGGAATAAATCAGAATTTAAGACACATTCATCGAAAAGTGCTCTCTTGCGGCTATTTCTAGAGAAATGACTCTATTCTTTGCTTGGTCAGCGTCTTGAGAAATCAGCCAATTCTGTTGAAGCTATGTATTAGAGTTGAAAGATTAAAAGAATTGTTACAAAATTTGACATCTATACTATAGTAAGCGATTCTTGAAATAAATAATAACTATTTGCTAAAGATATTACAGAGAAGGGAAAGTATCCAGAATTCATGACAAAACTCCATTAGCTTCCAAGTTTCCACAATCTAAACATCAGTCAAATCCTGCCAAGAAAGAATCAAATTAGAATTTAATAACCACTACCAGAATGACAATCTTGTTAAACCACGAATAACGCACTAGTAGTTTTTGCCATGCTTTGTTCAAAAATTTAAGGAACTACTAAGTACCAAATATAAAAATAAAGTCATCAAGAACACGTTCCATACTCCTAAGTTTGAGCCATCATTATATTGAATAAATACCTATTGCCACTCAAACTTTTTCTCAAACATTAATATTGGATGAATAAATAAACAATAGAAAGCAAATAAACAGCATATGTGTGAGGACCCGAAGATTTTCTTATTTTTATCGAATATTACTAGTTTATTTAAATATTTATTCACCTGTTTGCTCCGAATATTTTATTCCAAACTTTTAAACCCAATTACATGGAACTATGGCTTATGTATATTTTAAAATGACTTGTTACAAAAATTTAATTTTTGAAAGTTCATTTAGTGAGAATAGTGAATGCGCGTTTGAAGACAATAATCGATTCGAGGGGACAATGAGCTTGAAAAATTGGAAAATTATACATTAGCCTTAAAATAGGTATTTTTATGCCTAAGTATTCAAGTATTAGTTAGTTATACTATCGTTATAAGAATTTTTTGAAAGTTTCGCCGTAACGCGTGCAAATCGAAAGTTCGCGTATATTGAGCTGGAGCGGTTAATTGGAGATTTAAAAAATTTATTCTAGACTATTAAGAGTGAATAATTATAATGTTTAAGAAAGTGCATTGGAGATTTAGTGCACAAGTGAAACGAACCCGAGAGAAATCGGACACAAAACGCACGCGAACGCGCACTATTCCCAGTTGACTTTTGAAACATTTTTTGCCACACATTTAAGCTTCTCAATGAAGCTTCATTTTCAGCAAACACACACTCTCTCTTCACTCATAGCAGCCGGCCATCCAAGAGGAGGAAGAAGGAACCAAAGCTCTTCACTTTTTTATTTCATTTCTTCATCAAATCACTCCAAAATTTACACACAACTTGCAAACCACTTGGAGATCAACTTAAGCTAGGCAAGGAGCTTGTTTCTCACGGTTTTCTTGGGTTTAAGGTGACTGAAAATTTCTGCTCTAGCCATCTAAGGAGGTAAATGATGATCAACCTCTTGAATCTTGGTTTTTATAAGTTGTATTGCACTTGTGAACTCATAGATTCATATGGGTAGTTGTGAGTGGGCTCTATGAAATCCCACAATGGTTTGATGAACTGATTTGATGAGATTTGATGTTATTTATATTGGATTAGTGCTTAATCTAGTGAAAATAAGTTGTATTGTGAAAGAAAACTCAAAGGAAGTGAGATGTGACGATTCTGCCCTTGTTTTGCCACGACCATTAGTACACTTTTTTGTGGTTTAATTGACTTGATTTTGATGTAAATATGTTGTGTGGGTTGTGTGGAAAGTTTCTA